AAAAAAAAAACATTTTGGGCAGGGACAGAGAGGATTAAGTGTGGAACTTGGCTCACATTGTGCAAACAGTCCACCCTCAGACCAGAGATTTGACCTTGCATCATGTAGACAGGTCATGATGAAGGCAGGGGGAAATTGATTCAGTTAGCCTATGTAGACATGCCCCATGAAACTCAGAAGCAAAAATAAATAAATAAATAAATTTTAAAAAATAGAATAGAATCTGGAAAAGTTGTTTTAGGGAACTGCACTTCCCAGACTCTGGATGTCATAGAACAAAAATGTAGATTTGTCCATGCTCAGCAAGAAATACAATCCAAATCCTCTGTAGAACAATCTTGGGTCATTCACAGGTCATCGAATTTCATTCACCAGAGCTGACAGCCCTTCTGTTGTTTATGTCAGTCTCTGCCAACTAGTTTCCCATAGCCAGGATCCAGTCCCCAATGGAATGCTATAAAGTTCCCAATATTTATACCAAATTTTAATGAGGGATGAGCAGATTCCACCCCCCACACTCCATTCTCTTGGTCCACTCCCTTGCACATTTTCTTCCTGAATGCCAGCATAACTAAAATAATTGCTACAATTAAATCCAGAAGTAGAGCATGCACATGCTTTAGAATTTAACTTCTCCATCTTATTTTTCTTTTCCCCAATCCCAAAGCTACCAGTGTGCATACATAAAAATGCATAAAGTTGGAGCCAATTGGTGTAATGGTTTGAGTGTTAGACTAGGACTCTGGAGATCAGGGTTCCCATCCCCACTCAGCCATGGTAACCCATTCAGTGACCTTGTTCTCAGCCTCAAAGGAAGCCAAAGGCAAATCTTCCTCTGAACAAATTTTGCCAAGAAAATTCTATGATAGGCTCACCTTAGGGATGCTATAAGACAGTAAAGACTTGAGGGTGTACAGCAACAACAATTTATAAAATGCTTCAAACAAAGCACTCTTAATTGCATGGAGATTATTTTTGTGCAGTGGGTTTTACAAAAACACATTTGCAGATTGGCAAAATACCTGCAGAAATCTTGATTCAACAGATTATATAATCAAGACAATGCTTTTTTAAAATATTTGGCAGGATCTTTTCAATGCTCAAATAAATGCCAATCATTAATGTAGAGTAAGGATGGATGAATCCATGCATTTCATGTTCAGCAACTTCTGTATTTTTTCAAGGGCATGTTTGTTTTGTTCTATTACCACACCAGTCTGTGATTTAAAGTTTGCACCAAAATTGATATGATTTTTAGCATTGATAATTCTACACATTTTATACACATTATGTCTTAATAGTCTTTTTTTAAAAAAAACATGTTTCCATTAATATATGATTTTTTGTGTGCATCATATACCCTAATGTAATCATTTCTTTATCTATTCTTTTCATCAGAAAACTGCAGTGCAAAAGGATTATTGTGGTTCTGACATGCATATGGCTTTAGGAAGGGCAAATTAGGCTGTCTTGTATTGAAATGCAAACCAAACAAATTTCCCACCTTGTCTGGGGACAGCAAAAGTACTTTGCAGGCATATACTGGATTGGCCTGCCAAGTTTATTCCAACTTCATACCACTTTGAGACACTAATTTATTTTTCCATCTTCTGATTCACTAAGGATTTTCAGGTTGCGTGTTCGGATGATTGATTTCTAAGAGTCAAATGACATTTTTTAACCATTGCCTACGGTGGTCGCTTTTACCTTGAGGTTCTGGTGGTAATTGCTATTAATTGCTAAGGGAGAAGGAAACATCAGAGGCTGCAAATCCTGATGCATGATAGAGCAAATGCTTCGACTGCAGAGCCTGATATACTGTGTGACACAGTAAAGGGCCCCATGGGGCTTTTATCCTCCATTCAACTCAGTTTGCATCCTATCTATTTCCTAAATTAGATCAGAAAATAACTCTCTCTTTCTTCCCTTCTCTGCCAGCTCTCTTTTCTTTTCCCACTGAGTTTAGGTTGATGAACTTGGAACCCTTAAGCACAGATACTAACAACAGTGCATCATCGATGGCCGCAATCCTGATTGTTGGTGGTACTGGGGAGAATGTGCATAAAGAATAACAGCAGCATCACAGGGAGCCATAAGAGGTTATGCGAACGTCAATGGAAATTACTTTCCCACCCTGAGTTGGCT